TGGACAAACTTTTGTCGTATATAACATCCATCATTTAATACATCTTGCTGCGGATTGTCTATTACATGGACATCTAGAAGAATTTAGTGCTTTTAAATTTGAGAGTATTTTGGGATGTATGAAAAACTATTTGCATGCACCAGGGAAGACACTTCTTCAACAACAATTATATTATTTTTACGAATAATTGTCGTATTTTCTACTACTTTCATTTCGGCATCTCGTTAAACCGCTGACAAGATGTCCACACATATTTGGCTGTTGATGCTTCAACGTTACACGAATGAGTTGCGAATTTCGCGAGTCCGAAAACACGACAAAATAGTTTGTCGTGTGATGAAAAAAGAAGCCATGCTTCACCATTTCTCTGCTGCAAAAAATGAATTATTATTTGAAAAGCATCATAATACAGGGCCAACTTTAAACTGTCAAAGACAGCAATATAAGTTCGAATGTTAAATACATTTTTTCATGTACAGTCTGCTGATGCATATTGCCTTACAAAAGCCAATGAAGTGCTTAAGATTAAAAATATTATAAAATGTACTGAAAGAGATTATTTGATTGGCAGAAAATTTGAAGAAAAATCTAATCTGTTTTCGTATCCATTTTCCTCAAGTTTTTTATTACATATATATAATTAGCACTCTTGGACCGTTACATAGGTGATGCTTAGATGATGTTAAAAGAACAATTGTATTATTATCCTTCCCTGAAAAGAATGCGGAACATAATACAATTATATCAAAAAGTATCTGTTTTCCAATGCCCCATTCTGAAATATTGTTTTAGCACAGTAACTTACTATTGTTTTAGCATAATATCGAATTGAATATGTGTGTGTGTGTGTAAAGAAAACCATGTAACATATAAATAAAATATAATAAATATAAAATTATTTTAATATTGTTTTATTCTATAATTATTGTAATCTATATCACTGTTTCTTTTTTCTATAGAATAATATTGTTTTTTACAATATAAAATTATCTTACCTGTAATATACGAGGGCGGTCCGATAAGTACTTAGCCTCAGCCCGATGGCGCCACTATTGCAAGAGAAATTTACTATCGTGTAGTACATTCTCGTAGACGGCTACTGTCGAAATTTCAGCAGAATCGGACTCGTAGTTTTGTCTTGACCGCGTGTGGAAGCGGGCGTGTCCGCGGATTTTATAAAAATGGAAAAAGAGCAATATCGGTCGGTGATTCGATTCTTGTTTTTGGAAGGGAAATCGCGCAGCGAAATCAAAGAGCGCTTGGATGCTGTGTACGGTGACTCTTCTCCTTTGATGGCGACCGTCAAAAATTGGTTTAACGAGTTTCAACGTGGTCGCACGTCGGTTTTTGATGAGCCACGCTCAGGTGCCTCGAAAACGGCTACCACGGAGGATAACATGACAAAAATCCACGATCTCGTATTGGCAGACCGCCGATTGAAGGTGCGCGAGATAGCTGAGACAGTAGGCATCTCAAAGGACCGTGTGGGTCATATCCTGCATGAAATTTTGGGCATGAGAAAGCTGTCGGCGCGATGGGTGCCGCGTTTGCTCACTCCCGACAACAAGCGCAACCGTGAGACCACTTCAGAGCAGTGTTTGACGCTGTTTAAGCGCAATCCGAAGGAGTTTCTGCGTCGTTTCGTGACCGTTGACGAAACATGGATCCACTGGTACACACCAGAGACCAAGGAACAGTCGAAACAGTGGACTTCACCCAGCGAACGTGCTCCGAAGAAGGCGAAGACTGTCCTATCGGCCGGAAAGGTGATGGCCACCGTTTTCTGGGATTCACAAGGTGTGATCTACATCGACTACCTGGAGAAGGGCAAAACGGTCACAGGGCTGTACTATGCCGAATTATTGGGCCGATTCGACGCCGAATTGCAGAGAAAACGGCCCCATTTGGCGAAGAAAAAAGTGCTCTTCCATCATGACAACGCACCGGCTCACACCTCCGCCCTCGCCACGGTCAAATTGGTCGAATTGGGCTACGAACTGCTGCCCCATCCACCGTATTCTCCAGATTTGGCCCCGTGCGACTTCTTTTTGTTTCCAAACTTGAAAAAGTCACTCGCCGGGCAGAAATTTGAGTCGAATGAGGAGGTCATCGCCGCCACGGAGGCCTACTTTGCAGACCTCGAGAAAACGTATTTTTCAGACGGGTTAAAGAAGTTGGAGCATCGCTGGGTTAAGTGTATCGAGCTAAAAGGAGACTATGTTGAGAAATAAATCGCCACCTTTCCAAAATTTTCGTTTTTCTTTTGTAGGCTAAGTACTTATCGGACCACCCTCGTATATGGAGATCCAAATATTCGTACATTTCATTACCTCTCAAAAGTGACATTGCGATTAACAATATGCCTTGATTGATTAATCTTATACATTTTTAAAGTTTCACAGCAATCACATTTACACGAAGTCTTAATTTTTGTCCAGTTTTTGACTAGTTTTGGCCCATTGTGCGATGGGTCAAAATCGGCTCTTCATATTCATTGCTCTTTAACGTCTACCTAAATGAAACGTGTCTTTTTTTCCAAAAAATCGCTTACAACTAACCGGGACACTTAATATCTTTTTATTTGAAAATTACATGTACTTAGTAATATGACCAATTATTGTTAAAGAATATTCAGAGCAGATTTTAACGTAAAGCGAAGTGGAAAAGAAAAAGTCACATAAATGGAAATATGTTTATTCAAAATCAAAATTTATATATGTTATTAAACAACAATATTTGCACCTGAGAGCTACTCTTCGAACAAGCTGTTTCATTATTATTTATGCAACATCGCGTAGTACAAACCTATCATAAACCTATGTATCCATTCAATAATACTACTTTTCAACATCTCGAATTATATTGTTGTCTCGGCATTCTCAAATATAAAAGCATCGTCGAGTTAGAAAAATCTTCAGTTCAATAATATATACGTGTAATAATGACAAAAAGGAAATCGTCGGAATTGTCTTTCACCGATTTTGATGGGCTTTGGATATGTTGTAGAGTGTTAAAAAATATTAGACCCATATTTTTTTTAGCGACATATCTTATTGCGACGTTTAGGTAGAAACAACCCCTAAAAAAAATAGACTATTTCATTTCTTATAATTATTTCCTAAACTACGAGGTATATGAAAAATGTTTCATACAAAAGTTTTAGAATAATTTATACTCTTTAAGACGGACTGCTCCAACTAAAAAAACAAATGCAAAATTTTTGATAGCCGCCTCCTCTCTGTTACCTTTGCAAATTTTTAAGTTTTTGTAAGGAAGAGTTTGTAAAGATGTTAAAAATTGAAGAGCATTGAATACCAAATTCATTCATATATAATACTGAAAGGTGATCACGATTAAATTGTTGGAAAAACGACATTATAACATCATGCTATATAAGCGCGGCGCTATGCGAGTAGTTATACATTGGGGTGTCCCAAAATTATAACACACCATGGTGTGTTACAATTTTGGGACATCCAATGCTCATCAATTTTTAACTTTTTTATAAACTCTTTCTAACTCTAAAAACTCAAAAATTTGCAAAGGTAACAGAGAGGAGACGGTTATCAAAAATTTTGCATTTGTTTTTTTAATTGGAGCAGTCCGTTTTAAAGAGTATAAATTATTCTACAATTTTTGTATGAAACATTTTTCATATACCTCGTAATTTAGGAAATAATTACAAAAAATGAAATAGTCTTTTTTTTTGGAGGGTTATTTCAACCTAAACGTCGCAATAAGATGTCGCTAAAAAAATATGGTATAATGGGTATAATATTTTTTAACACTCTACAACATATCCAAAGCCTATTAAAATCAGTAAAGAACAATTCCGACGATTTCCTTATAAGGCGCGGAGATTCGTCGTAAGATTTCCTATTCTTTTTCTTCTTTTCTCTTACTTTTTCTTTCCTTCCTTCACGGACATTCGTGTTCTTATGATGTTTTATCCAAAATGCTATGCTTTAGTTTAGATTGAATAAAAAAGAGAATATAAAGAAGAAAAGAGTATGACACTGTGTGTGCCTAACTATACACGTATCCATAAGGAGAGAAGGAAAAGAGGAAAAGAAATCTAGTTTATAGAATAAGCAGAAGTAATTTGCTTCTTTGATCTTGTGCTTTGTCGAATCGTGTCGTATTATTCCGCGCCCACATAATATTTCACAATTCTAGACTACGTTTTCATGATAGAATAAAAGTACTCCTCGCTGCTTTAATGCAGTAATAAGGAACATTACGCAGAGATGTGGTGATATTCAGTGTGAATAATGTAATTTCTGCTTAGATTAAATCGATTATCTCTGTAGAGAGGATGATATGCCGTTGAACCGTAAACTACAAATATATTTAAGTTTTTAATTCAATTAAATGTAATAGCGAATCGTATTCACATTCTAAAAATTTAATATAAATTCTTTCTGTTCTGTTTATTTATCTCTTTGTATTTAAGTAAATTAGATATACACTCAACATGACTCAAGATTAAAAGATATTTTTATTTATTTAAACAATAACACAGTGTCTAATAGCTGCTACATTTCCTATGAATAATCATGTCTTGTAATGGTGCTATTAAAAAGGAAAAAAAATATGATGCATATACTTCAATATAAATTAAATCCTTTTGGTAGTATAACATATACTATATATACTATATATAGGTCGTAAATATATATCAATCGCGTTATATATAATTTATGTGTGTATATATAATATATATTTCTCGATATATATATATTATTCCACCTTTTCAGAATCATAAATATCGAAACAATAAAAAATAACAAAACAAATAAAAGAAAAAGAAATGGAGCATCATGCAGTAGCGTAAATAAGATGCGCTTCGAACTCATCAATGTTTTCTAACATCTTCACAATAAATTTATAGCTCCATTAAAAAAAGATCTTAGCAAATACCACGAAGCTTCGTCAAGCTTTCGAGGCTTGTGCGTAAATTTGTTTCAAAAAGAAATTTGTCAAAATATTGTTACATTGAAATGGATAAATGCGATTTGTCCTCACATTTTATTAGTAATTATATCGTAATCATTACAACAACGTTTCTCACGTCGTGACATGCTCACATCGTGAAACGCTCAGTGCCACATGAGATCTGAGAGGTCCCATGGGTTGTAGCGAAGCCCATGCTACCCGTTGAGGCTCGACGTACACTTTAATCACAAAGTACAATGCATAATCAAAAAAGAATCTAGGCCTTGAAGCTCTCAGGCACTGTAAATGCTCGAGGACATCGGAGAATGTCGGAATACAATCGCTTTCGTCTCGACCATGATTTTCAATTAAAATTTAATCATTATTACGAAAGAAAAAAAAGAAATGACGATATTGGCCTTAAAGTAGAACGATAAAAACCTAGCATATAGTACACTAATACGTAAGTTATGTTCTTGTTCCTTTTGGTGCTTAGAACTTGTAAGTCATGTTAACTAAATCGAATAATCGCCTCGCTCACAGTTTCTAGCCGACCGATAAATAAATTCTTCATGTGACTTAAATAAATAACATCTCGGACCGAACGGATATTCCACGTATGTTGGTACTAGAAGAGGGAAGCTGTTAACGCAAGTGGATGGCACGAACGCGAGCGTGAGCGTGGATCATCGATCGTTTCGGCGTACATACATTTAAAATTAGAGAGCGCACCGTGTGTATTTGCGGACCGATGAGATGTGATGGTGTTGGTCGATGAATGTATCAACAATGTGAATGAGTGAACATACATCGCAAAATGATTTATGAAGCGAGACTCGCGAATTTTTTTATTGATAGATTATACGAATATCTTTCGAATCCGCGTGCACACATACTCTTTTCTTCACAAATTCTTGTTCCCCAAAGCAGACAAATTTCACATCGCGCGATTGAAGAATTACAACAGACAAAGTAGTGAGAAACTAAAAACAACGGTGGAGGCTCGCGTTCTAGAGTACGTTAGTTTGTTTATCAGAAGCGACTGGAATGTGCTATGTACATTGAACACTATTCGAACGACGCAAGCGATGAATATCGGTCAATATTACGGAAAACACCGCATAGTCTTCCCTCCCCTCTCTTTATTTTGTTCTTCTCATCCACTCCAGATTACAGTCTGCTGGTCAAGTGAAGATTTTCCTCGACGAATATGCGCCTTACTTTGCGCGGAAAGCGTATTTCCACTC